TACTCCTTCCACAGTAATATATATGGAAATGGCTTCTCTGTCTGTGCTGTTCTCATAAACCTGCAGTGTATTTAATGTCCACTGACGGCTCGGCCAACAAAGAACGACCTTCAGGCTGCACAACGATGCTAAATGACAATTAGTGGATACTTACAAGAAACGATAGACTCCACATAAAGATGGACGACACGTCTCCACTTCATCTCACTATCTAGAAATGAAGCCGAATATCCTGGATATGAACGCTGCCATCTTGCACATTTGGAGCCAGAGGTCAGGGTTAACCATGTGTCCCTCTTACTTCAATCTAAGCTCATTAGAGGCAAACAAATCCCTCAAAATATTGGTCTAAATCTTAACTCCTGAAGTGCTTAAAACTTTTGTGTATATGGTGCAGAGATTAATCACACATACACAAAGGAAGCTTCCCATTTTCACTATCAATAATACATTTAATTATGTTCGTGGTTTTTGCTGAAAACCAAAATGTCAGAGTCAGCTTCACGGTTTTATTTTGAAATGAGCTTTGATTCTGAGCGTGAATCCATTTTCCTGGCGACAATAAATGCAAACACTGGACTCCCTCCAACACTAATGTGTTCCTGTAATGATGGATGTCTGTGGAGCATCCCCACAAAAGTCCACAGCGGCGCTCGGTGATCTATGAGACGCGACGCATCCTCACTCTAACTTTGATTAAAGGGCTGCGTGCATGACTCGCCATTAGCTGATTTTTTCAAATGGTGTTATCGGAAGTATCTGTCCCCGCTGCACACAGCTACCTTCACCAGGGCTGACTGCTTAATATAAACACACACATATAGATAAGACAGTATTGTGTTACCCTCGTGAACTGTGCAGCATGTGCAGGATGGATTAATCACCAAGCCACAATGCACTGAGGGAACAGACCGCGGAAGCTGTCATAAACAGATAAGCATAAATGAAAGCTGGGCGTGCATGTGTTTAAAAGTCCTGCAGTTCGTCTTGAAAACAGCTGACTGTCCTCTGAGTTTATGACTTCATTCCTACGTTTATATCTTAAAGTGTCTTCATTAACGTTTGGGTTGATAAAAAAAAAAACCTCAAAGTGACCTCAGCTCACAGCTCTGATAACCGTCCTCATCGCTATTCAGTTACTTTTAATTTTATCAAGCCACAAAGTTTGCAGACGTTTAAATGCCAGAGAAAAGGTCACGTGGCGGCAGCGGAGAACAAGAGCAATGAACCACAGGGGGGTTGTGGACTGTGAGTTCAGGGACTTTAAATGGACTGCGGCCAGTGGAGTGTTACAGCGAGGGAAAGGTGAGATTAAAAAAGAGTGTGTGGGCGAAAAACAACAAAAAGAAACCACATGACAAGAAGAAGGTTAAGAGTACAATTCTTAAATGATTAAATACTACATCGTTAAAGCACAATGTGCTTAAGAAGGAGTTCTCCAACAATAGAAGATAAAGAGATCTACTTCTAGTGATACAGAGAAATCACAGACTGTATATAAAGATGGACGACGCGTCTCAAACCCCTCCCACTATCCAGAAATGAAGCCAAAATCCCTGATATGAGCGCTGCCATCTTGCGTATTTAAATAGTCTATGAAAGAAACCTAAATGCCGTTTAAAAATCTCTTGAAAATCTTGTTTTTCCTGACCCCTAGTGGTTTAACAAAGTATTTCTATTTGCATTTTATTGCCTTTATTGACGAGTTAGATTGTAAAGTGGGAGGGAAGTGGATGTAAAAGGGGGATGAGAGAATCTACAGCTGCTGCAGAGGACTGGAGTTCCTGCAGTGACGTGCTGGCGTACCCCGGGACTTTATGACATCACCAGGGGGGCGTGGTTACTACTATCAGGGCTGGCCCAAATGATTTGAAGCATCGAACCAATAACACAATTAAATAAGAGACATTACACATTATGCATGGACATGAATTATTATTGGTCGGGCATGAACATTGTTTCACAGAAAGGAACAGAAGATTCGACAACACTAGCAAGATTTTGAAAAGTCAAGCATCTGGAATAACTTTGTGTGTGAAGCGGCAGAAACAGACAGATGCAACATTCAAGCAGTTTGGAAAAACAGCAGTTTCAGTGAAAGGTGCTCACAGCGACGTCTGCAGGGACATTCAATGTATTTTGTCTGAATCCTATTCACTTCTATTGAATCAGGTCAGAGGCAGAAATCCCTATAACATGGAGTCAGTGCTACAGAGGAAGCCAAACTAATCCTGTAGTTAAAGACACAGGGCCAGGCCTGTGTTCGGGATGCCCTTATGAGGGACTGCAGCAAACAGCAGCAACCCAGTTTGTCCACCATCCATCACTGCAGCACAACAATTTACCCACACAGCAGAGTCGTGTCGAAAAACACTGGAAAGGAACAACCAAGGAAAGAAAATGTCCCCAAACTGCAGCTGTGGGGGTGGCGGGTGAACAAATAAACAACTTTTCAAAGCACAACTGGTGCTGCCGTATATAATGGAGGCCGTGATGTGTGGGCACTGTCTCTCAATGTGACACAACAAATGGTGGAGGGGAGTTAAGCTGGAGCTCAGGGGGGAGACAAACCGCGGCTGCCCAAACGGCCTTGTTAGGGGGCAGGGAGGGAGCTCATCAGTGAACGGGAGCAGCACTGACAGAGAAGCTTGTTATCAGGGGCACATTGGCCAAGAGAGTGGCTCATTAGGGAGAAGCTCCAGTGGCCTGCGCACGCCATGCTGCTCTCACCAGATGGTCAGCTGTCTGAATACGGAAATGGACGTCCCATCATTTTGATGATTTCGAAAAACATTCACTCAAATCATGTTTTGACTTTGCAAAGTTTGCAGAGTCTTATTCCCTGAGATAAAGAAGCTCCATCTTCAGTTCACACTGAATCATCTATGATGCCGCGTGACACCACAATCCTGCTGCAGCATTGCCCCCTGCTGGTGCCGCACACTGGAAATCCAGGTTGATGGCAAGATGCAATCATAACATGAATTTTCCCATCATCCCTCTCCTCTCGACGGACCCTTCACATGCTGCCAGCTGTCACGGTAAATAACAAATAGTTTGCAATCACCCCTGTCTGGATAAGTGCAGCACTTTTGAGCTTGATTACTGCACCATTCATTTTTTCTTCTCTCTTCCACAGCGAGAGGTTCAATAAATCATAATTCAACTTTCACTCAGGGAGAAACAGACAATGCCACAGAGCCACATCAAAATCCGCAGTGGGACTTGTTCAGTTAGATTCTCTTTTCAGACAAATGCTTTCGTTCGCTGTCTAATCTCACACATATCGCAGAATTAAAAAGTATTGTTGCATGGTATTACTTTGAGCTGTGAGCCGAGTGTGAATCCATCCACCGCTGATGTGATTGGGAAGATGCTGGACTTTTTAATTAAAATCAGTGAATTTTCTGTATTGACGAGGAGCTCGGGCAGCAGAATGGATGCAATCACACCAGGGTGGTACGAACACAGGAGTTTTTATAAGGGGACTGTACTTTTCTGGAGAAGTAGCTGTAATCACAACAGAGAAAGGAGTATTAAAACTAATACATTTTACCTTAAGGTCATTTCACCATTTTTTTGCCTTGAAATCAACAAGGCTGAAGTTTTCCCCGATGATCTGGTCGCTTTCTGTTAATTAAATCTAACATTGATAAATTAGGATGAATTACAGATAAGAAGGAAGGATCAGATAGATAGATAGATGAAATTAGTGGTAATCCACAGGTGCAATTACAAAGAACAGTTTTATCACGAGTTTAGTAG